GCGAGTAGAATCTACTTTATAAAATGGCAAAGTCGAGTGCATTCTACGTATATGGCGGTAAAAGCGATTTCACGGTAGCCCGAATTTGGAGCAAGTCCAAGTCGAAAATCGATCGACCTTTAAACCAATCGGGTATATGCTTACCCCTTCTATGTTGGACAATAAAACGAACAAAGTACCGAGCGACCCGATATCGGGAACCGTTTCGATACAAATCTGTCCTTGGCAAAGAAGAGACATATTTCTATCATGATCCACGCGTACAGAAACTCTGGCTTAGGAGTTTCTCTAGGAAAACTTGTTTAGAACACAAGTTTGATCTCTCTTATAACTTGTATTTTTACAGTAGAACCATCGTATAGTAGATTATTGTGTACGAGGGGGATGAATGCTCTTGCGATAATCGAGATTTCCGGGAAGACAAGGTTTGGATTAATTTTATAACTTCAATCGCCACTTCAATCGTAAGGGACAAGCAGTATGCTTTTACAAAGTTTATCGCATCCGGTGTGTGAATCATACAAGGTACCCTATTCTATCATATTCTAATGGACTGTAGCACAAACCAAAGCAAAGCGATAATTTTAATACTAATTTAGTACACTCCGGATATTTATGCGCTTACGACAAGAGTAAATATACAAAAACATACAAGAATAATATCAATCAAATAATGATTGAAATAAAATTCGTAATTTCTATTAGTCCCCAACGAACTCTGCTGTTGAAGCGACTACAAGTAAACGTATATAAAAAGAAGATTTGGATATCTGCATCGCGTTACGAACATAAATCTTGTGTCTCCAAAAGCGTGACCTCGGTGGCCGTACCATTAGTACCACACATCCGTTCATGACGTGACAGTCAATGCGTTATCGTTAACTACGTGATATTATTAATCTTAATCGGTAACATGTGTCTGTCACTTAGGACGTGAAAATGAATTCGAATTAATTTAGCTAAATGAATCTAATCTAATCGAGCAACGCGACGAAAAGTGACCAACGACCGACGAAAGAGAACGCAAAGACTCCAATGATGAGTCGAGCAAAGGCTTCGTAGTTCGTAGCGAGGGGAATTACTCCACAACCCCTAAAGCTTCTGTCAACCCATACCCGTTCGCTTTCTTTCCATTCGTTTCATTCGCGACGCGCACGCGACAACGCAAAATTGAAATTCGAAACACAATCAGTCACCATTACCACCACGATTCGAGCCAATAAAACACAGATACCGTTTTTAACCGACTTCGAAAAGGAGGAGGTTACTCAGTTCGACATGTATATTTTTTTTTTTTTTTTTTACATTTACCAATATACGATAACGCGGATTCCGAAACACCGCGCTAAGTAGCAAAATTGAAACAAAGCGATGGAAACTAATTATCGGAAATGGTAGCACGTGTCTGTAACACCTTTGGGGGAGGAAAACGGTTACCTTAACAAAATGTAATTTTATCTTAAACAAAAATGTGAAGATACGGAAACGTATATAAAACGCGATATGTTTCTTGCTTTTGGGTAAAACCAAGTGGCTTATTCACCGAAAAAGAAATTAATTCGGGAAGTGAGGTACTAAGGAAAATAAATCTAGTTAAGATTCGTGAATTTAGATTAGATATCAAAAATAAGTATCACGACAATAAATTCCGTTGCAATCGATGTGTTAAATCGATAATGAATATTGAAAGTAATATTTCATGACAAGATTACTTAGATAAGCTTCAGGTAGGCCATAGGTAAGAAAGAAATAAAACACTTCATAAGTTCGTGTTGCAATAATTTAAAAGAATAGTATTTTGTTTGAACATACGTAGCATTTATCATCAAAATATCAGCTGAAGTATTTTATTTTTAAATAATATCCAGCTCCTATTATGGAACGAGTGGTACGTTCTGCAACGAATGTCCAAAAAAAATATTCTTTTCGCGGTGTAGTAACAGCTGTTCTGTTAACGGTGAACCGTAAATCGAACGGCATCCACTTCGTATGAAGCGTATAAACATTCCCCCTGAGCTTGTTTACGATGATCAATCGAAACGTTGGTATTTGTTCCAGTGTTTATATTCGAGATTCCGGGAAAACACGCAATAGATTGAAAGAATTTCAAACAGCCTTACGTCTGGATGGCATCGAATCGTTAATGAAGGAGAAAGGTCGTCCAATAACACCAACGATCGGTCAAGCGTTACCATTTTGATCTTAGCTAATAGAAAATTTCTAGCGATTATTATTTTGAATTCTATTTTTAAAGAAATCTGTTCTTTAAGCTAGATAAATGCCTCATTTCCGAATGCTGGAGGAATAAACGCTACAAATTTCTTCGCTTCACTTTCATTAAATAAACCCCGAAGCTTGGTGTTATTACAAATTTACAAAACCATCTAACTGTATAGATATATTGTATATAGATACCGAAACTATCGAACAAATTAAATATTGAAAGACCGACGGCCATTCTAAATTTCGTTCGTTTCGCTGAGTCAGCTGCCGCTTCGTCGAATCAAATCAATTTTGAAACGAAACGATCCAACGCGTGTACAATTGCCACGGGTCTCGAGCTCGGAAAAATGGCAAAACGGTTCCAAACAGAAACCCCGTAACTTCAAAGGAAAATTGAGACAGTTCTTTCAATGGCTGGAGTGTCGATTCGCTATATAAAAGGCTTTTTGCACGGCGAGTTGCGCGATAGGTGGCCCGCAATTTGCCATTGGACGTGAGCTGCGAAATAGAAAGGCAACATTTTCCATTTTTGTATCACGAATAGAAATCAATCGGAATCATCGAACATGTCGTTACTTATTTTTACTGTAGACACGCTTTTTTGTGTACACTTCCTATCAAAGTTCGCGTGTCACTACTCGTTAGAGTTGTCTAACTGCCTACTCAAACATTCAACCCGCGATAGCAAATCGTCACTCGTCGTAAAATCATTAATCTACGATACATGTTTGCCTTCAGAGACTGTAGCATACGAATATGGAACTACCCTAGCTAGATGGGGGCCAATGGGCACCAACAAACGTGTGCCAAAGACAAGACTAACGTAAACGTAATGTGAAGACTTACGATAACGCGAACTAAGCCAAAATTAAGGAGTTATGGAAGGCAAAGTAATGTCAAGAAGAATAGAAATAATTGTATTGTGATGTATGGATTCAGTGCAATAATCGAAGTGACAGCTATGCACTTAAAAAGACCAAGCAAGTACGATATATATTTGCATATGAAAGCAGATCCAACTCGAAAACGTACACTTTAAATAATAAAATAATGCTTGTACCGATTGGCTTGCTACGTTTAAAACATGATACTTAGCGGGGTCAAGTACTCGTTCAAGTACGGAACGGATGACTACTCGAAGATTAAGAGGATCATTAGATTCGACCGTACTGCGACCTCTATCGAAAACTGCTGAAAATCGTATAATCTAGTCGATCGCGACCAACGTAAAGCGACGGAGCCTCCTATCGTAGATATTTCCGAACGTAAATAAATTTTGTTTGATAACGGCGTTGTGACAAATCATTAACGTCGATGATAAAAAACAATTTACAAGATGAACTCTTAGCACCACGGGCGAATTATCGCGCAGGATACGAATACCAGCGTCGACAAATACGTTAATCGATGTCGATTATGACATTTCTTGGGGGCGTGACAATTTATGGCACTACGACCTGCTGTCACCCGAGTTAATGCGACAAGTCAATGACAACGTTGCCATCTGTCCAGTTATTCTAATAGCAAACTTCGCTCGCACTAACGATAAACGTATCTACCAATTAAACTCGACCGACACGAGAATTACATCTAGAAATAACCGCAATCTGGATAAGATGTTCTCGCGACCCGTAAATATTTTGCCGTTCATTCATACTCTACAGACAAAATCCTTTTCGCGACCTCGACGTCGTTACATCGAAGCGATGCGTAATCGTTACTGCTTGGGAGTGTTTAAATTTTTTTTTGGTTAGCAAGAAAGGACGGACACGGTTCTTGGAAATGGTGTATCATAATATTACGCAACGACCGTGTAATTCGAATTTGTACTCAACGATTAAATCCAATGCCACGATAATAATATTCTAAGATTTGCACGGAACGCTTAGATAGAAGATAGACAAATCGGTTGATCGGGTCTGTTCGTTAGGAGCCAACATAAATTGAATTTTATACCGTTACGTTATGTTCATTTTTATTAAGGTGTCCCGAAAGTTTCTTTCGCGAGTTGCACTCAATTATTTTATGTGGTCGTGTTTATATAAATAAACAATCTAATTTCATAGATATTCATAGATATTCAAACAGTAACGGAGCAAAATGAATCGTGAACAATTCAGTAATGTAACATAAAACATAAACTATTGTGCATGTATTACTTATTGATAAAGCAAAAGAAACTTTTGGGACAACCTAATACATGAATTTAGACAGCAGATTTTAGTGGTTTATGTAGGGACAGAATATAAGATTCGAGAAAATAAAATTACTCTCGTCGAGTAAATATCTGCTATCAGATGGAGCAAAAATATTACACGTATTAATAGTTAATGTTACTTGTTAGCGTGATAAATCTCAATCATAAAAGTACCGAAAGAAGCATTGTTTAAACATGGTACATTTACTCGTTTCGAACAGAGCCACTGTGGCTTATACATGATAATTTTATTGACATTGTTCCACGCAATTTCATTGTCACACTTCTGCATTATTTTGTCATGATTCGCGTGGTACCAAAATAATACATATTACCGAACAAGATACTTGATATGATACTTCTTTCAGTGCATTTACGATTGAGAAGCTCTCGCGTTACTTCACATGCTCCGACGATATACATAATGCAAAAGAACTATCGATGAAGCGAATCGCACCTCAGACTCGGGTGTTACTCGGCGCAGGTGTTAGACGAGAAAAAGAGGAACCGGTAGGTGCGTGAGGTAACGCGAGTCCCCTTTAAATCGGCAGCACTGCGCTGGGTGTTGCATAACACTCACCTTTTCCACTTTCCCTCCGCTCTTTCCGTCAACGAGAGTGGTGCTGAGTCGATCGTTCGGTCTTCCGTGCTCGCCCACGTGCTGGATACTTGTCGCCCCTCTTTCTCGCTTTCTTTCCTCTCATTCCATCTTCGTCCGCGGAACAAAGGCCACGTGAAAGCAGCAACCTTGGCCTTTGACGTTTCAACCGGGACCTGTTCGAGGCACGAGTCGTTTCGTGCGTGCGTGCGTGCGTCCGTGAGAAACGCGCCCTTTACACGCGGTCGAATGGAGTTCTTTCTATAGTCACCACTTCCTCAGACGGTGACAGTCAACAGGATCGGTCCTTTCGAACAGTCGAACAAGCGTTTCCTGACACCGATCCAGTAACTGACCTTCTCAACGCAACCGGTTTTCGCATGCACGTCGGGTCCGTTCTCTGTCGAACCGCCTCGTGACCATTCACTCGACGTTCACCACACCGGTGCGCGTTCGCATTCGTCGATAATCTACCCCCGTATTCGATATCTCGTCTCGAATCGATTTGCTCTCGAGAGATTTACAAACGTACGTCACGGAATACCGTAGGACACTTGCGCCCCGAGAACGATAACACAAGTACCAGGCAGGGTCCGTGTCGCAAAAACGGAGCGACCTTTCGCTTCGCAGAAAAAGCGGATACAGACGCGAACTGCGCGACGTCTCGGCGAAGACTGCCGAGGTGAGCGGCCGTGAGTCGACGCGAGAGCCTCGGCGCTCGACCCAAACCACTCGCGAGTCAATGACGGAGAGACGTGATTGGCCGGAGCGCGAGCAGTCTCACTACATTGGACGTCACCGACGACCACAGAGTCAATAGGCTTTTTAATTAAACGATTCAAATGTAACCGCGATTACGCTCTACCGAGAAATGGACCAAAGTTGCGGGTTAAATGGAGTCTAACGCGGACATTAGGATAAGGCATTGATTCGAGTTGACTCGCTACGACGCTTTGGAGCATATGTACCTCGCGACAATTTTCTCTGGCTAATTCCACATTTTATTGGGTGGGTCTGGTGTTAATATCACGGGACAATATCAATGATAAAATACATAAGACATACTTTTATTAAAATCTCTGTTTTGTACCTAAATTTGCATAAACATCAAGTTATGACATACTCCATAAATTTCGAATATAATAAGTTGAAGTTAAAACCACGATAAAAATCATACGAAAATTGTTTATTCGATACCGAAATAAAATGTAGTAGTTGCACTGGTTTCATATCGTCATTACCTTACAAATGAAATTTTTCCCAGTCTAGCGTGTATAGGAGGTCGGCAAAAATGCTGCAACGGATGACTACCGCCTGGCGACCGCGAAATGTTAATCTTAATTGCTTCAAGATTGGCCGAGCCATCAGTGGTTTGTCAACTGTCGCTCCCGTTGACGATAACCCTAGAAATTGAGGCGAGCAGCCGACGAAACGGCTGGCTGTTTACTTTTCATGGTGCAATCTCGCTGTATAGGATGCAACGGCGGGCGTCCCGGCGCGGGACACCGACGGTTTTTTGGTCACCGAAACGAAATTAAAGGCCATGCGAACGCACGATAGCGAGACACGCGATATCTTCGGTCTGGTGAATTTCATTGCATTTCCTGTACAATATTCAAATCAGAAGGGGGACGAAATAAAAGTACGAACATGTCCCAAACCGAAATTTTGATTAACATCGCCGTGACCGGAAGAACGAAACGCGTGCGGGTTGGTGGGCCTATACACCCACGCACTTTTTAGGAATAAAATCGGCACAGGATCATGGGAGAATAATATTCTGTTCGGTATATGTCACATAATTCACAATTTGGTCTTGGAGAGGCGTATATTTCAGTTGAAAATCGTAGGACCTACCACGGTCTCAAAACCACTAACATATTCGTAAACATACAAATCGTTAATACATATACGAATTTCATAAGAATATCATCGTTTAAATGTCATTACAGCCCCAGCGATAACAAATACTATAAATACGATAAAGGCTTGCGAAACCACGACGTTCTCGAAGTCTTTCAGGTGGATCGGAGAACCAAATCCAACAAGTTATGAGAACTTTTCAGCGCAAATTAACACGTATACGGGGCCACACTTTCTCCGATATTTCGTAAGAAGATAAAGTCGCGGCACGAAAATATACCAGCTACCAGCTAGATCGATGCATATATTACGTACAAATCAACTTCCAAACTTGTTGACGCGCGACAAACCGCAAACTAATGTCGAACATGCAGGTTACTCGGTACACGGGTACTCGCACTTCTCGGTCGCGCATATGACCGGGAGTATTTATAGAATTTACTAGTTCTGTCCTCATATTTTCGTACTAATCGCGCGAGAGGACTCGGTCAACGGTATCCATTCACCAATCCAAACCGACGCTTTCCTCTTACAGGCGAACTAATTCTATTTGTCTATCTTCGCGTTTTATTTCTACCTAAAACGGACCAGTGTCGGGATGAAAATAACGTGATACGTTCAGAGTATTAGGTGGAGGCATTCATGTGAGAATCAACTATGGTTAATACTCTAGATAACACTTTCAAAGAGTATGTACAGTGGCTGTAGAATGTATTCATACACCGATCAATTTCCCAAAAAACTTTTCTGTGAAATTGTAGTTTCTTTGTAACTTCTATTTTTAAAATCAATGATGTATTACATATTCTCGAAAGTCTCTAAGACAGATATAGTCCAAAAAACATTTACTAGTTAATATAATTTGTGAAATTAACAAAAAATTGCGAAAAATGGGTAAAAGTATAGAAGCAATAAGTATTTGTACGATTCTTATGACGAACCACTTACAGTAGAGTTTGTAACGTAAACACATAAGTTATTGCTCCGTGCGAATTAGAAAACATCAAATTTCTAGTAAAGTACTTTTAAACAGTTGTGCGAATACTTATTGCTTCAACATTTCTATCGATTAATACGAGATAACCACGCACGAGATAACCGCCAAGCGGAAAAAGGACTCGGAATCAGGCTGATTAAATTAACTACAGAGATTTGATTCTGATCGCTCCTCGTTTGCGAGTTGATTATTCGCAAGCGATACAATTGGCCAACTGAACTTTTTCGGTTTTCGGAAAGCGACGATAATCCGCCAGCACGTAAAAAAAGCAGAGCACCGAGAGTGGGGAGGCCGGGAGTCGCGAACGAAGCGAAACGCGTGACAAACACCGTCGATCCAAAAAAAAAAACTACAAACAACCACGAAGGAGAAGTCCGCCGCGGAAACGGACCGAGTTATTCCGAAACAGTACCTCAGATTTGTCATTCATATTAAAAATAATAATCACCAATCAAAGTATCGATTGCCCAAAACTAAGTCTACGTAATTAAGACGCAAATCCGGTGTGAACGTTTCCTCGGCGCAGAATGATTCCCGGATCGAATGGAGCGTTATTCGTTCGCATAATTAATGCAACGCGCACGTTCCCCGTGATTCCGCCAACGAGCCCAGGTATCCGCGATAAATCTCTCCCATGGTACTGGAATCGACGTGGAATTTTTCCCAGGCTTGCGTTCGCGTATCTGGTCGAATCGCCACGTTTCTTCTCTGTACGATTATATTTCTGGCCTAATTAACGCGTCTAAACGCTTACGGGTTATCTCCGGCGTCGATGGTGGGTTTTCGCACGAAACCTGCTTAGCGACGATGTTCTCACAACGATGACAACGTGTGCGAGCCGGTTGTACGCGTCCGGTGCCACCTTCCTCGAGGACGTGTGCTCGCACGTCGCGTTATGCATGACCAGGGTGTTAAGTATGAAAAGGAAACACAGAAGAGGCTCTTGCCCGCGGACGTGAGACGCGCGAGAGGGCGTCACTCCCCAGGCTTCCTGAAAGACAATGGAATCCGACATCCACTTCGAATCGAGCTACCTGCCACCGGGGTTACTTCCGTTTCGCGTTTAACGTTACGGAATTTTCATTTCCCGTAACTTCTCTAACGACCGCTAGGCACACAGCGGACGTAATTGGTTAACGTACCGTGTCCCCGTTCTCTCGATAATTTCAAAATGAACTTAAGCGGTCGCATAGAATATTCCGTTACCCCTCGAAACACCCTGAAAGCTACGGGATGTTTAACGAGCAAACTGTATTACCCTAACGCGAGGATCTCACCGCTGGAACCGCTGGAACGCAACGAGCTTCTGTACTATTCCGTCGTTCTAATCGAATAATTAGTTGATACGTGCTCCCGTCGGGCCGAGATGCTTAGAAATTTCTAAACTCTCGACGCATGCTGGGGTTGCACCGTGTACATTCGTAATTTATTAAACGTTGCGATTCTTTTCGATACCACGGGTCACAAAGCATTTTATTCGATACGTATGCCCCCATTTTGAACAGTTAACGTCAGAAAACGTGGCACGAATCGAGGCAGAAGCGGTACGAAGAGAAAAAGCTCTCCTTCACCTTTTCAGAAAGACTACCTAGTCTCGCTGGAGAAGCGATCCGTTTAGCGTAAAGAAGATTTCGTCAAATGACAACACGTTTCCACATTTCTGCTCGCGGTAAACAACGTAATTTACGGTGGTTAAATTAAATGCACTCGTCGGCGCTTCCGCGAAATCGTTCGGATCTCTCGCATAAAACATTTCGTTGATCCATGTAATACGGGCTTTAAATTCGGACGTCGAGCCGCGGAGCGGAAAGCGCGCGGAAGGTGTCTACCGTTCGAGCTCCCCGTGCAAAAACTGATAAGGAAAATATATATCCCCACTTGACTTGGCTTCTATACCCTTTTTCGCCCCCTTAAGCTTCCGAGCGCTGACGAGGTATCTTGGAGACTGGCCAATTTACACCCCAGTCTTCTTTCGAACGGTTGGATAAGAACGGAATTGAAATAATCTCTATTCCCGCTGCCGGAACGCAACGTTTCGAAATACGAATGATTTAACCTAGGGAAAGGAACCATGCGCGGATTATGTTTATTCCGGTGTGCTTTCCATTCAATTTCGCCTTGCTCGAGTTACTAGCAGTCGAAACCGAAAAGAATGAGGTTTTTTTAATAACTACGAAAGGGAATGTGTAAGTTAATGTTTATGTTAGTTTGTGTTAGTTCGATTAACTCAATTCTCTCCTTAATGTTCAATTATGTTCTGTTTGAACACATTCGTTAACACTTATTCGTTAACCAACGCTCCTTGAAAATAGAGAATGGAGGCACAATTCAATTAATATGTATCTAGTTCATATTGTCAATAATTCAGTAATTTTAATATATTTAGTAACTAAATATCGAATAAATGAAAAGAAGATGTACATTAACACTTCTAGACTCGGTTCGAATGAAAATAAAAATATTTGTTCGTGCAGCACTTCATACTCGATAGACAAAATCCTTCTCGCGACCTCGACGACGTTACATAGAAACGATGCGTGCTCGTCGCTGCCTGGGCGTGTTTACATTTTTTTTTGGTTAGCAAGAAAGCACGTACGACGCGAAGGACGGATACGATTCTTGGAAATGGTGTATTTAAGTCGACTGATCACAATATTACCCAACGGTCGTGAAATTCGAATCTTTACGCAACGATTAAATGCACCGCCACGTTGTGTACGTACCTAGTTCCCTATGCCACGAATCCCCACCTTGCAGTAAGAATTTTGTCAAGAATTCGGTAATTTTAATATACACTACCGCGCAAAAATATCGAGACACTTGC